TTGGTCTGTTTCATATCATCATTTTGAAATTGTTTTATTCATTTATATTTTTCTTAAGTTTATGGTTATTTTTGTAAGTATTTCTCTAACCTAAATTTGATTTGGGTCAGCAGTGCTGATGTTCTCTTAAAATGATTTTCAGGTGTCTTTCACTATGATGGATGACATTGCAGTATAATGATGTCACTACCAAAGATTGAGCCCAAGTGTGGACTCAGCTACTTACTAGTTGTAGGTTAAGTTAGTCAGTTGTGTATAACTTACAACTTCAGCATTCTCCTCTGCAAATAGGGATGATAATGATCTTCATGAGCAGCTAAGAATAAATGGGACGGCACATGTGCACAGTTTAATATCTGATACTTGTTAAGCAACTAATAAATGTTAGCAATAAAAGGAAATGGCAGCGTGTATCCTGTGTGTCCCTGCCCCTCATTGTCTCCTCCCTCCTTTTTGGGAAAAAATTGAAACTACTATTTTATAAGTATCGTGTGTGTGCGTGTGTGCGTGTGTGCGTGTGTGCGTGTGTGCGTGTGTGTGTGTGTGTGTGTGTGTGTGTGTGTGTGTGTGTGTGTGGTGTTTATATCCTATATGCTTTGTATATCTTTAATTTTTAAGTTACCTCCATAAGAATGCTACTGGTCCCATTTCTTTTGATTTTAAAAATATTTTCAAAATACATTTCACATAATCTAGGTGTGATTGCAACACTTAAATAGCATATTTTAGTAATTTCCCCACCCACTTCCCATTCCCCCCAGTTTTCTAGCACCCCCACCCCATCTTTGCTGGCTTTCATTTACACACACACACACACACACACACACACACACCACTTTAAAAACCTCTCATATATAGAATGCAAATCATTTATCTCAGACCAGATACAGTATAAATGAAATTTTACTCAAACATCAACACTATTCATGTTCCTCTAACTGCCCTGTGGCTTGACCTCTAAACTCATCAACACAGATAAGTTTAAGGTGAGCTGATAAAGCAAATAGAATGTTTCTCTCCCTTACAGGCAGGCAGGCTATGGTGGGTCAGCTTGTGAACAACATGGGTATGACGGCTTCCAGTATAGCAGTCTTGCTTGTTAGCTGCACTTCATTTGAGTAGAATATGCTCAATTTGGAACATCTAGGCAATGAGAATTTGGGTTGCCCATTTCTGCTACATTTCATTAGACTGTCATCAGTGTTTGCGTGTTGTTGAGTATTTGGCAGACAGACTTGAGAATTTGTTTTTTTTTTTAATCTTATAATGTTTGTGTGTTGGAAAGTGTTCTAACTGGAGGGGACATTGTTTTGACTCAACAAGAGACCCCCCCCAAAAGCATTTTTGCCTCATTTTGCCTTAGAATGGCCCTTTATAAGGTCCTTCTGTGGCATTCCTACAAAAGTATCAGTCCTTTCTACCAAAAGCACCATTATATGCAATGGGAGAATGCGGGCTTTAGAGCCAGCCCAGCTTGTATCCAGATCTATTAATCCCTTACTTATTGGTGATGCACTGAGTAGGGAGGGTGTTAATTCTTACTGACTTCAGCTATATGCCAGGTATTCTTAGATAATTGATTAAACTCTGTAATTGCCACAACTTTATAAAGGAATCCTTTCCATATAATGTCAAAGAGGTAAATGTGTAGTCTAAGTTGTTCCTGTAAGTGGTAAAGTTTGATCTTATACACAGATTAATGAGTGCTGAATATATATATATATATATATATGTACATATATATACTATATAATACCCCAGGTAAATGAATTAATACTTGAGCCCCAATTTCTTCACCCTAAATAGGAATGATACTGTTTGCAAATCTTGATATCAAGATTAAATCATACATTTAAAGTACTTATCAGGATCACCGCATCTTAGAAGTACATAGTTTTTTTCCTAGAAATCGTATTTCTCCCTACCTTAAATAAATAAAAATCACAGAAGAATAAAAGAATTAACCCCACCTTTGCATGTTTTAAATTGCTTGGTAATGTAATTTTTTGTGCTGTTATTTTCTTAACTTTTAGGAAAGATGGAACAATAATACAATGAACTTCTGTATGTTACTGTCCTCAGTTCACTATTCGATTTTTATAGTTGTTTCTCTTTGCATATCTACATATATAGAAATATTTTTATCAAACTCATTGAGAGTAAATTACAGATGTTACCATACGTTTGTCTCACTTTTAAGAATAAAAACATCCTCTCATGAAATGGTGCATTGATCAAAATTTGTCATTTTTTGATGGCACATGGCTGTAATCTCATCTTTACATAATCAAAAGCAGAAGGATTATGAGTTCTGGGCCAGCCTGAGTGCTGTATTGTAATCCAAGAATAATGGGGAGGGTGAATTTTATTAACAGAACACTGATCTATTGTAGTTTATAGTCTTTTTTTTTTTTAATTGGCAACCCAATAGTCATCTTTTAAGTAATTTTCTCCCCTTAGGTTACTTTGGACTTTGAGTTTCTTATTCAACTTCTGGTTTTTAAACCATGACTACTTTATGCATTGGGCCACTTTTTTCTTTAGATTGTCTGTCCATCCCCAGAATCATAGTCTGAAACTGTTTTAAGTATCTTGAAGCAAACAGAAGATAGTCTTCATTTTTTTTCTCTGAAGTAGACTCCCAACAAATACCTGAGTACCTGTAATGTGCCCCAGGATTGTATAGAACAGTGGAAACAGGATATTTAGAAGATACATGTACTTTGTCCTCAGGTGAGGTTACAGATGAGTTAGTAGACCACATAGTCTTGTTGAACTCAGAAGAGTGTTTTCTGGAGCCATGCTAGAAACCACACACAATTTAGGGCTCACGAGAATGTTTGAAAACAATATAAATCAACTTTGGCAGGAGAATTGAAAGTTTGAAGTCTGCTTCAAGATCTGTTTAGTGTGATAATTTAAGACAGTTAATACTGTATAACATAGTAGTGAAATGATGTCTATACTGCATAAATGCAAGTTAGTAATAAAATACCCTTTGCTTTCATCTTAGTGGTAGTTTACTCACTGTGATTTAAAAGGGGGATGGAGGTAGAGGAAGTGGTAAAGATCTCTGTAGACCTTTCTATACTATTTAAGTTCGTTCCTTCATCTGCAGGTCTCCATTTCACTTATTTTTAAAAAGGTCTTAACCAGGGTGTCCTAACTCACCATCTAAAAGAAACAGAAGCTGTCTAGTGTATTTGCAGGTATGCTTTTATGTACTGCCAGAATGGTTTAGTTACAATAAAATCTTTGTGTATAGTGTCCAAAGTAAATTTTAGCTAGTAACTAGGCAGAAGTAAGGCTAAGGGACAACTTAATCATTTAGGATAGATACAGGAAAGGGTTCTACTCAAAACAATGCTGAGTAATGACACTGCAGAAACTAAGTAGACTGAACAAAGAAAGTGACTTTAAGATGAAAATTGGGCTCACTATATATGAAGGTTTACTCTTTGAGAATGGTAGAATGTGGGTGGATCTTAGTAAAGGCAGGAATGGGGAGTAACAGGCCACATTCCTTGTGCTAAGCCCTTCATGTTCATTTTATCCATTTCTTGAACTAGTGTTTGAACCATCATATTCCTCTGTACAGATTATAGAGCTAAGGTTCAGAGAAGTTAAGACACTTTTTAACATTATATAGCCAAGAAATTCCATATGGGGATTTGAGTCCAGAAACCTCAATTCTGCATTTATACACTGTATCTGACTAACATTGTATCAGACACAATGCTGAGGATTAGAGCTGCCAACATGTGTATATGAAAACAGAAGAGGCTCCTGTTGAAGTGTTTGCTAAAATATATTCAGTGAGAATATGAAATGCTGTGACACACTGTATACTTCATCCATGTTTATCTTAAACTCATAAATCCCTTCATCCAGCATAAAACCAGTGTACCCGATGCATTGCAAGCAGACACAGATATGGGTGACCTTGTGAGCAGAGGTAAAGTTAGAAGGGCTATGATCTTTATAGAAGAAACCAACTTATCTTCAAATCCAGTAGATATAATAGCAAAACACTGATGAGAGAGAGCTTGTTACTCCTTTTTGTGTTCACTGGTTTTAAAATGTTTCAAAAGTAAACCTGACCCCCTTATTAGACCTGCTGTTTCCTACATTTATCAGAAAAATAGTTTCATGTTTTTAGTCTTAGGCCAGAAGTTATTCATGTCTGTACTCATCAGCTTTACTTGGAAACTACATGTTAATAATATGATTTAGCAAAGTCAAGTTTTATTTTTATTATTTGGTGTCTTATTTCTTTGGTGCTGGGGATCAAACCCAGGATCATTCGCACACGCGCGCTCACACACACACACACACACACACACACACACACACATATATATATTCATTCAAACCCAGATATTCTACCACTGATCTACAAAGCCAGCTTTTGGTTTCTAAATTTAAAAACAAAAAACTTGGAATTTTGTAGAACCAGAGCTTCATATAAAACAGGGTTTTATAAGTGTGTTGATGAGAGTAGTATATACAGTATTGTAGTTTGCCCCTGTGTAGTTGACTTCAAGAATTTTGAAGGTGTTTCCTCTATTTAGTGTTTCAAAGGAGTATCTTATAGGGGTTGGAGTGAGTGGTTCTTCCCTTCCTAATAGAACTGAAGTTTGTTAGCATAATGTAATAATCCAGTCTTAATAGAGCTTGCTACTGTTGAAGATCACATAGAAGCCATGGCCCTTATAGTTTATTATTTGATTATTAGCATGTTGTTGACTAAAAATTCCAGACTTACCTGTCTTGATCAAAAGAACATCCTTAGGAAATAATTTTCTTAAGCCATTTCTGTTCTCTTGCAAAGAGGAAAAGAGGATAGGGATACTTGTCATGTGCTTGAATCATTGGAGTTGCATAAACCCATTTCCTGCTCTGAAGGCTCTGAGAGCAATCAAATAATACATCATACTTAGAATATCAAATCTGTGCCTGGTAGTAGAGTTTGTATATTAACAGAGATTGTTTGCTTGCAGGGAAAATGCTGGTGAACCAGATTCCTGGAGCAGTTTATCCTATGAAATCCCCTATGAAGACTGTTCAGTGAGGCACCATCGAGAATTGGACATCTATACATTGACTTCTGAATCTGAATCACATCATGAACCCCATGGCGACAGTTGTACTGGACATATTTTTAAACTTATGAATATCCAACAGCAGCTAATGGTAAGGGAAAGTTTTCATTTTTAGTTGTCTGCCTATCCCTCTCCCCCAATGAGTCTTGCTATAATTAGAATGTAAATTTATAAAGCATTGTTAGTTTCCAATGTTGCTGTACTGGTTAGTATTTTGTCAGCTTGATACAAGCTAGAGTCATTTTGGGAAAAAAAAATGAGAAACATCTGCGTTAAACTGCAAGGGCTCAGCCCTAGTGTTGTATAAGAAAGTTGAGCAAGCTGTGGGAAGCAAGTCAGTAAGCAGTGTTCCTCCATAGTCAATCAGCTCCTTCCCCTAGGTTCCTGTCCTTATATCCTGCAGTGATAGACTATACCTGAGAGTTGTAAAATGTAACAAACCCTTTCCTTCCTGCGTTAGATTTGGTCCTGGTATTTATAACAATAGAAAGCAAACTAGGACAGTTGCCACTTAAGATACAGAACTAACATTAAGATTATATGGCAGTAGAGGACTGAGTTTTTTTTTTTTTTTTTAACTTATAGAAGACTTTGTTTCCTTGGTGTCCTCCATCCCCACTAGCTCTTATCATTTTTCCACCCCCTTCTTCCACAGGGTTTCCTGAGCTCTGAGGGGATGGATTTGATGGAGACAGGCAATTTAGAACTGAGTTGTTCCAAGGTCTCAAATTCTCTGCACTTTGTTCCATTTTGGGTTTCTGTATTTGTTGCCATTTACTGCAGGAGGAAGCTTCTCTTATGATGGCTGAGCAAGATACTGATCTATGTATATAGCAGAATGTTAGAAGTCATTTTATTGCTACATTTCTTTAACAGAACAGTAGTATTTGGTTTTCCCCTAGGCCAATAACCTATCTAGTCTCGGGTTCTTGGCTACCCAAGCACTGTCTAGCTTTTGTTCCATCTCATGAATGGGCCTAAATCCACTCAGATAGTAGTTAGTTGCTCCTACAGCTTTTGTGCTACTTATTATACTGGTGTACCTTGCAGGCAAATCACAATTGTAGCTCAAAGGGTTTGTAGCTATTTGTGACCTCAAGAACACAGTGGTAGCATGCACAGGGCCTGTACAGGTCTAAGCCAAATGGGATCCCAGCACCAAAAGGGAAAATGGATACAAGCTCCCCTCCCTGACCCAGAAGATACCTCCAGTCAATAACTGCTCATAAAGGAAAAAATTAGTTTTTTTCCAATAGAGTCTCACTGGGTATACAACCACGCTTAAGGATAGGCCCCATGTCCAGAAGTAGGTGGCCAACATAAAACAAATGTTTTGTGCAATTGTGTTGTAGCCATGCATCTGTACATTTCCAGTACTTTTTACTTTAGTTCTTTTTTTCTGTTTGTTTGTTTTGTCCTATTCTGGTTTGTTTTTATTCTATTTTACTTATGTATTTTGTTTTTGGTGCCTGTTTGTTTTTTAATGAAAGAGAGAAGGAAAGTGTGTAGATTTGGAGAGTTGGGCTTATGTATAGAAGTCAGAAGACAACTTTTATGAGTCTTTTGGTTATCAAACTCAGGTTCTCAGGCTTGCATGGCAAGTGCTTTTATTCATTGAGCCATCTTGTTGGCTCACAGGTCTGGGATCTTTAAATTTGAAATTCTTCCCAAATTTCTGAAGTAATGAAAGATACTCATGGTCACTATAGATGTGCAAATGTGTAGCAAGTAGAACAAAACTTTCCTGTCATGAAAAGAATTTTTTGCTAATGTGTTAGAACTATAGGAGGCCAGAGTTTCTAGATTGTTGCTAAAGACCAAGAAGGGAATTGACTCCTTAGGAAAAACCCTTTCACCGCTGTACAGGGAATGATGATGGAGCTGCCATGTTTAAATGCATAGTTGACAGTTAAAAAAGTCATAAGGATTTTATAATCCACTCAAGCTTCGAAGATAAAATGGTTGCCAGACATAAAATCATTACAGACTCCTTGGTAGCATTTATTGTAGGTAATATAGACGTCATATGGCTGCATTTCTCTGGACTGTAGCATCTGAGAAGCTAAGTTTAGATAATTTTTCCACCCAGTTTATTTCAAAACTGATTTGATTTGGAAACAGTCTGATAATAATTTTATTTAAGGTCATCTAGGTCTAGGCCAGCTTGGTGCCAAAAGCTTCTTTGGGAGCAAGCTTTTCTGAGACAAGCAAGCCAAAAAAATTCTACACTAGGATTGTATGAAATGGTTTATTCTGCCCTTCTTTTCTTTTTCTTTTTTGGTTTTTTTTTTTTCTCTTTTTCTTTATGTGTGTGTATGTGCATCCTATGCATGCATTGGATATGTCTGTGTATCATGTGCATGTAGTGTGTATGTCTGTCATGTGCATGTGTGTATGTCTGGGCGTCCTGTACATGCAGTTTGTATGTTCATATACCATATGAATGCAGTGTGTATGTCTGTGTACCATGTGCATGCAGTGCTCTCTGAGGTCAGAAGAAGGCATTGCTTCCCCTGGAACTGGAGATACAGATAGTTGTGAACCATCATATAAGTCCTAAGAATAGAACCTAGGTCCTCCACTAAGTCACCTCTCCAGCCTTCTTCTGCCTTTCTGAATGATACTTGTTTCCAGCCTGCCATTTTCCTTTGAATGGACTGTTCCAAAGTTACTTTTTTTTTCTTTTGAACTCTTATTTAACGAATGGTTGTCTAATTAAGAAAACTGAGCTTGCACATTTCATCGTTACTTTGATCATGCTTTCGGCAGCACTGCCTACTTGTTTCCCTGGTCTGCAATGTTCCCCTTTCATCAAGGGTATTGATTTGAAGTCCTAACTTGTAGGGGGTGTGTTACCAGGCTAATTTTGAATATTCTTAAGGAATACACCATACATAATTTTAGTGACAAGTCTGTTTTTTGGTATACTCTAATAAAAGGACTTTAGCAAGGATGGCATATTTTACTCCTACCTGCAAACTTCACAATAGCTTTAATGAGCAGGAGCAATCTGATGATATACTACTCAGTATATTTACAGATTAAGCAGATAAGTGAGATATGATTGTGGGTGTATATAAAATTACTTCAATAGACAAATAATAAATGGAGAACAGATATTTTTAAATAATTATGTGCCAAATAAATTGTACTATAACAATCGCTGAATTTTGTTACTATAAACTCATTAAAGGTTCAACTCTGGTTAGATTTATTTTCCTGAGCCTTGTTTGCGTACCCATGAGATTTTTATATTTGTTTTTAAGATTATTTTTAATTGTGTTGTGGGGGCACATGTCAGGGAGTATGTGCAAATAAATGCAGGTGCACATGAAGGCCAGAGGAGGCTTTTGAATTCCCTGGAGCTGTAGTTAGAAATGGTTGCAAGCTGCTGTAGGTAGGGTGCTAGAAGTAGAAATCTCAGGCCCTTTGCAAGAGCAGTATGCATACTTCAACACTGAGCCAACTCCCCAGTCCTGTTTTTACTTAACTTATAACTTTGATTAACTGTAAATTTTATTTAGCTTTTCAACACTGTATCAAACACAGGCATGTGCGCGCATGCGCGCATGGACACACACACACACACACACACACACACACACACAACACACACACGCATGCACGCACGCACACACGCACGCACGCACGCACGCAGAAAGTAGCAGTAGATAACACACGCATGCACGCACGCACACACGCACGCACGCACGCACGCACGCAGAAAGTAGCAGTAGATTAGATAGTCTTCATAGTTTATATAACAGTGTTGTGTTCTTTCTATCAAATTCAACTGATTGTTTTAGCCATTTTTTCATATTTGCTGTATTTGTTTATATAATAAACCAAACTCTTAAGCAGTATATGGTAATATGAGCCTAATAATTCCAGTAGTTAAGAGGCAGAAACAGGAGGATTAGACAATTTTGTAGATGGCCTGTCTACATAGTAAGGTATTGTTTCAGAAAACAAGCAAGCTAACAAAACTAAATTACCCAAAAAGTTTAAGGTGGCAAAAACTATTTTTGATAAGATTTTTAATACTCTATAGCCCACAGGTCCCTTGACAGTAGTTAGTAGTATATGCCCTTTTATTTACCATTTAGTATGGATACCATAAAAACTACTTTTTAATCAAACTGATAGATAGTATTCCTAATTCTAAACCTACTTAGTTTATATATGTTGGGTTGAGCATAATTTGAGGATATGGTAATGTAGCTGAATATTTTGATTGAAAGGAGTTTTAAAACTGGTTAGACTTTAGTTTTCCATGAATATTTGAGACAGATGGAAGTAGACTCCATTCCCATAAAGACCTAAGAATCCTTGTTGGTTGTTATTTGAAGATGTCCATTGAGCTTTTTTGAAAAAGGGCTTTTGAGGCCCAATTTTAAATCTTTTTTTAATATGGAAACCAGTCACATAGTATAATCTGAATAAAACTTAGCATCCTAATGGATACACAGGTGTGGGCAGAAGGTGGCGCATCATTTGTTAACTGAGAAGGCTTGGAAAGACATTTCTGTCTAACAAGACTCTGCCTGCAGGTGTCAGTGATGTCTTTTTATGGTAATCAGTTTTGTTTTGTCCCCCCACCCCTTTCTTTTTGTGGTCATTTTTTTTTTTAAAAAAAAGTTTCCTTGATTTCTTCCTAGAAAACAAACTTGAAGCAGATGGACAATATTATACCCGTAATGGTGACAGCACAGGATTCTTCTAGTGTGCCCAGCACACTAGAGATAGATGGCCAGCTCCTTTCCTGTGCACCAGAGCCTTCTGACCAGCAGCAGCTTTCTTCTGAAGAAACTATGAGCACTCTATGCTGCCGAGGCAGTCCTATGAGGGAGGCTGAAAGTTCCTGTGATCTGTCAAATGTGGCTGAGGAAGAAAATGTAGTCTGTTCTTACAAGAAAAATAAAGATGTGGGGAGGAAAGGGGAAGAGGAGGAGCCAGCATCCGCTGTGGACTCCCGGTCTGCATCTCATCAAGACAGCTGCCTTCAGAGCATATCTGGCTGTGGAGTAAAGGGCACAGAAGGCCTTCCATCTTGTGGAAACAGAAATGAAGTAACTGGAACAAAATATTCTGGAGTGGCCACATGTCAGCAGCCCCCGAGCAGTGGGGACAGTGTGCTGCAGGAAGTCATGGCCACAGAGCCAAGTGCATGCCAGCATTCTTCTGGAAGGGAGCTACTCGACAGTTCTTCACCAGATGCTGATCCCCCAGAAAATGCAGGGGACCTGGAACATAGCTTATTGAACCCAAGTGCTACCATCCAGGTGATTAAGCATCAAGTAGAGGAAGGCACAAAGGAAAGATTGGAGAACTCTGATGTCAGCACGGCTGAGGTGTCTGGTGTTCAAGCTTTACAAGAACCTGTGGAGAAAGCCGATACTACAAACCATATCTTTGCCACTAGTGCCCTGGGTGCCGACGTGCCTGCTGAGTCCTCGCCTGCATTGAGTCCTGGAGAAATCCCCACTGAGAAAACAGGAAAGGAAACTCAGGAGAGAAGCTGTGAGGAGAGGACGGATGCTCCAAGTGACCAGAGCTCTCTGGTGTCTCCAGCTAGTGCAGAAGACAAGATTTCAGGTGGACCAGAACCTGATACTCCCCTAGCAGGCCCGTGTGAGACACCATCACCCTTGGCTTTAAACTTTTCTGGACTAACACCAGATGGGATGCCAAACCAGACATCAGAATCTAATTCATGGCACACTCCAAGCCAAAACAGCCAGGCACTGCTTTGTTCTACAAATGGGGCTGGCGATTCTTGTGCTGAGTCTCCATGTCAGCAGAACACAGTGACTCCTAGTGGTGAGTTGGTTGTAAAACATGGCACTGGTAAAGGCAGCCTGCCTGACAGTGCAATAATACAGCCAAACACACAAGATCCATGCACTGCCCTCTGCCCAGAAGACCCACAAGCTGACACAGCCACTTCTGACATTGTGAAAAGCACCCAGGAATCTGTGGGGGTTTGTCCTCTCTGTGTTTTAGATGCAAAGTGCCAGGGGAAAGATTTGAAACAGGATACAACTTTAACAAATACGCTTGAGGATGCTTCACATTTGCCTCCAGTTGCCCCCCAAACTGAGATTGAACCAGTGCCAGACCAGGTAACACCACCAGGCAGCAGTTTCTCTCTGGCAAGCAGTCCAGAGAGTGAATCAGTAACCAAAAATGACGCACTTTCTCTTGTCCCCTCCCAGAAAGAAAAAGGAACAGCAACTGCTCAGCTCCATAGAACTATAGCTTGTAGAGATGGCCCAGATGGAGGAGAATCAAATGATCCCAGTAAGCTAGGAAACGGGGCTGCGGGCCTGTTTACATCTCCTGCTGTAGAGCTTCAGCCCAGCATGGGGAATACCAGCCTTGTAGGCCTTGGTGGAGAACAGGAGGGCCCCGGGCCGACGACAGCACCTGAAGTTCTGAGCGACACTTCACGACAAAGTGTGGATAAAGCTGCTTTGGTCTCCAGCTCTCTCCTGCCCGGGGAAGACGGCAGTCTGGTGGTTCCTGAAAGCTTGGCAACTCTGGGACAAGATGGCAAGGATAAAGCAATGGGATGTTCTTCCATTAAAGAAGACACACATTCTTCAGAAATATCCAGGGAAAACCAGAGGACACCACCTCCTGGGCTGGAGATACCAAGATTATGTGAAAAACCTATGTCAGCTGCCTGTGCACTGCAGCCCAGTAAATCACCGGGCACACCCTCTGCTGAGCTGAAAACAGAAACTAAGCATAACAAGGAAGTGGCCCCACAGGTCTCCCCACTGACTGAAGGTGGGGCTGCGAAGAGCCCGGTGCCACCAAAAGCAAATCTAGCTGCAGATTCAAAGCAGAAAGCCTCAGGTGCAGAGCAGAGCAGCTCATCTCTGCTGCCAAGTCTGCCGCCAGATGTATCTGAAGCACTTCATTGCAGTCTGCCTTGTGCAGTGGATGTTGGTGTGAATACTCAGTTCCAAGGGGAAACCAATGCTAGTGAGGTCAGCAGAAATGTGATGGAGGATGTTAAAGTGCCTAATGCCTTATCAGCTACTGCCGAGCCCTCAAGAAACAATACATCACACCATGTCAAAGGCAGTCCAGTTTCAGAGTTGTTAACCCAAGAGAAGAAAGTGACTCCAAGTTTGCCAGAAGCTTTACTGGAAAAAGGTGTCACTGGTTCACAAGAAGTCATAACCCCAGAGATAGTACCACTTGATTGCAAGAGAGAGAAACTGGAGGGAACAGACCTCAGCCATGCCATGAGTAACACTAAGGAGGTCCCAAATGATGAAGAAACGATGCAGCCTCTTGCCAGGGACCGCCCCTCAGAGATAGGACTCTCAGCTCTCAATGACAGTGTCCTCCCTGCTGGCACGAGGCAAGTCATACAGACCTCAGTCCAGCAAGAGGAAAGTAATGCCACCTTTCTACTTGGAATCCAAGCTGCGCATGTGCCTATGGGAGCAGACCCCATAGCGGAGACTGCTACTCGTATAGTTGAGGCCGTAATCAAGCAAGTCAAGGCCTCCAACACACTGTTGACTAAAGGGGAAATCAGTAATCCGTCACTGTCCATCTCAGAGACAGGGCAGCTGCAGAATGTTTGTACAGAGAGTACATGTACCTTCCTACCTGGGGAGACCCTGCAAATGGATATTCGTGAAGAAACCTCTGGGAACTGTGTTGTTGAAACAGAGGAACCAGAGAAAATTATTTCACCTACCAAAAGGCCTGAGCCAGCACCAGGTAAGCTAAGCAGTCTATAAAATTAACAGCTTCTGAAACTTGTCTCTGTTATGTAGTGCTAAGAATGTGGATGTCATGACTGTGTCTTTAAGGTCTTGCTTGCTCAGTAGTGTGAGCCGCCAAGTTAACAGTCACTACTGTCAGGAAACACGAGTCATCTTAGGTTGGACAGATTTTACTTCCTGTATTATAGATGCAAAGCTTGTTTTTTTCTTTTTAAGCTTACACTGTGTGTTACATTGAAGCCATTACAGTTTCTAAATCCTGAACACAGTACCTGGATCTCAGTTGGTGTTAATCAAACAATTTAGTTCTTTTCTTTAGGCCCACAGAATATAGTGCTGAAATGAATGTGCTCTGTTTACAAGTTGGAAACTCTCCCAAGTCATTGTCCGTTTGTATTCTAAGAGAACTTAAAGTCAGGCTGTTTCACGAACAGCTGTTTCTGAGAAATCCTCTTAAATGAACATCTAAAATTGTGATATTAGGTCATTGGTTAAGTCGGGGGTGTGTACTCCCTCCTTTTCCTGTCTGAGGAACAAACCCCCAGGTTTGCCGCTTCGCTTTTGGGCAGAGTCTGGGAATTCAGGGTCCTGCATAGCTATACAGGGGCTAGGATACAGGATTTCCGCCCAAGCCCAGTCTGCCGTGCTGCTGTCACTGGGCAGACCTTGTGTCTGCTTATCTTGGTGAAGCAGCTGCACTAAGCAGATTGCTCAACACAAGCAGCCTGTTCCATCAGTGGGTAACCATGTCCAGGGAGAGCAGAGAGAAACTACCATTGCTGAGTAGAATGAACTTGCTGAATAGAGCTTCTTACGATGTTTGAGACTGAAGCTGAAACCGGATTTGGAATGGCTGTCAATCTTCTCTTCTGAAGTCTCTGAAGGTCAGTTGGATGCAGATATTTATACACCACCTGCTACCAGCTGTACCATGCCTCTCTGATGCTTTTTTGATTGTTTTGTTTTGTTTTTGTTTTTGTTTTAACTGTTGGCAATGCTTTTAAATGTAATGCATGGTAGAATTGTGGGTGTGGGGTTTGGAGAGAAATGAACAAACAAAAATAAATTCTTTGGGATGACAGGATTTAAATACAATGCCTAGGCCCGGATGAAGGGCTTTTGCCTGTTTTAAAGTCCAACTTCCAGCTGTGGTTAAGTGATTTTAAGAAGCTAAGGTGGGACTTTTAGGGACTTCAGGTTTTTAAATTTAGTGCTGTTTTAGGTTGACGTCTGTCTCAACATTGAAATGAGGTCTCTAATTCTTAAGACAAGGCACCATGACAGGTCTATTTTGGGGGCCTTGGCAGGTTGACATTTCAGAAGCTTGGGAGTGGCTGTAAGTTGATGCCTGGCTGTTTTCCTTTCTTTTGGTGCTCTGTCCTTGGCCACCCTGGGTGGAATTATTTCTCCTTCTTGTTCTGTGGTCACAATTTGACCCTAGCAACTGTGAACTATGAAGCTTGTGTCTGTATCACTGGATCAGAAAAGGTAAGAAAAAAGAAAAACTGGCAGAATCTTAGACATGATTTTAAGTATATACAACTATAGTAAAGATACTAAGAAATGGTGCGAAATTTTGAAGAAGAAAGTTTTGAAAATTGGGGGTTGGTTGTATTTTGTATAGGTGGGTTACTTGTTTTGTTACCAAAAGGACTCATAACAGGGCTGGTGCTCAACTACAAAAAAAGTAACCAGTGAAGAAATTGAGTACTTTCTTTGAAATAGCCAGGGTCGAGGAAAGTCCCTGGTTACATTGTGCTAGAAAAAAGCACCTGAGTGTGATCTCATAGCCAGGGGTATTTTTGTGAAGGTTGCATTCCATTCATGGATTCTTTTATGGGTCAGGTTTAGCTGTTGATTTGGGAGGAGCCTGATAAAAGAGGGAATGTGACCTTTGCCTCACAGAAAGCATTGATTGATCACTGTACTCAGAAGGTGCTTGACCAAACCAAGCTAATCTTGCAGAGTCTCAGTAATCAATGTTTACGGTTGTAGCTGGTCCATATTTTCTGTTGATTGCATATAGGAAAGTTGAGGTTAATGCTAAAAATCACATTCCAGGATACAATAAAAACCATATCTTCCTTCACATACACAGTTACTCTCTGTCTCTTAGAAATGTTTTTCCTTGGGATTTTTGTAAAGGGATTACTTCAGTTTTGTTTTTTTTTTTTCTTTTTAAATAAAACTTGATTTACTAAAGCTAACAGATTTTAATTCTCTGGACAAGCAAACTTGGATACCTATTTTAAATTGCTAGTAATATTGTATAATTACAAAAGAAAAGACAGGACAAGGAATTATAAATGTTCTCTTGTTAGGAATGTGACTTTCCCAATCGAAGGTCTCTAGAGAATCACAGATGTTGTTAGTGTGAATGAATCTTAATGTGATTTATTATTCAATGAGAGAAACTTCAGTCTTTCAGATGGGGATTGTTTTTATTGCCAGAGTAGTACCACTGCTACTTTAACAAGCAAATGGAAATGAGGCAGACTTTCCATTTATATTATATATAATATATTATATGTAATATATATTAAGGTAATTTCGACTATTCAATCAATATTTTCCCTTTAAAGAAGTGTCAGAAGTCTAAATTTGTCTTGAACATCATTATTATCACTTCCTGCTTTTGCATGACCATGTGGTGGCCGGGTAAGAGAAACTATTATTGTTGAGTCTGTTAAGAGCATGGTCAGTATGGGGACAGATTATTTAATACTAAAACAACAACAGAAAAATTTTAAAAACTTTGTTTTGTTTTGTTTTTCCAGACAGAAATGAATATTAGATTCTTTACTCAATTTTGCTTTTGGAAAAACTATAGTTCAAAAATAACTTGCTGAAATTGTCTAGTCTTATTGATTAAATTAATGGTGTAGAACAGGGTTTGTAATATATGTTTTAAGTGATTCTGGTCTTGAAAGCCATTTTCAGTAGCTTTCCATTTTCTCTATACAAATAAATTTTGCTATAATGGTGTCCAAAATGTACTGCCTTATTTAATATATTAATCTGCACCCTTGTAGTTTATTAATTTACTGTCACATGCATTTTTGTAGCTTTTCAAAGTCATTAATGAAACGGACACTCAGTAGACAATGAGTTGAATGTCCTTTAACTCTAAGCTCATTTAGAGGCTGGGAACCAGTCACAGACCATGTGATAAGTATAGGAGCTCAGTGTGGGGTCATAAATGGCACCAGCTCCTGCCATTGCATGGAAAAACAAACAAAACAGATGAAACCTGAATTTGTTGTGTAAATACTAAAGCACATAGGAACCTCCTTTTTTTTTTTTTTAATCGAATGTACTCTCTCTGAATAACCCATATTCTCTTCAGAAATGCCAGACACTAAAGCTGAAGATGAAGTGGATTCTCTGAGTAAGACCAGAGCTCCTTCTGAGGAGGAGGCTCTAGGAAATGGAACTACCACACCCAAAATGAAACAAGGCCCTGAGACCCAGGCGGTAAGTGGCATCTGCAGACCTGTATGGACAGTATTTCAGCTTGGCCTGCTTGTGTGATCTACGGCCATAGTTTTTGTGATAGGATGGGATAGATCAATGGTTTTTACCCTTTCTTTCTTGTCCTGCTTTTGAAACAAAGGGTATGTTTTTGTTAAACTTGTGTTGGTGTCATCAAAGCTTTGGAATCGTCTTCCCTACATGAATCCTTTGGAGATTACAATAAAAACATTTTTCCTGTGAGCACAAGACTTTGAAACTGGTCGGCAAATTTTCAGTGACACAACAAGAATTTACCCCAAGGGGCATCCATGCACATTATTGAACACGACTTGTTCTTTATGTCTTCATTGTGAAGGTCATCATAAAGTGTATAAAATATGGAGAATATCATTAGCAAAGGAAAAAGCTGAGTAAATATTTCCTTAGCAGTTTCGTGAGGATTTATACATTAGCAAAACCACAATTCAAATGAAATATGGTTGGTAGCTCTTTATATTTATAAAATTGTATAACCACCACTACCTATATTTTAATTTTTGAGATTTATTCATGTGTATGTTTGTTTTGCTCTCTTGTCTGTCTGTGTACCATGTGTGTGCAATAGTCAGAGAGCCCGGAAGACAGGACATCAGAAGAGCATTCAATGCTTTTAACCACTGAGACTTCTATCCAGCCTGACTTGTTTATGTCCTTGTGATGACATCATCTCAAAAACCCAGTGCCCATTAGCAATCTGCCCTGTCTTTCTTCATTCCACTAACCTGCTGGCAGTCAGCAATCTGATTTCTCTTTCTAGACATTTGACTTTTCTTGAACTTCATATAAGTGGAATTATAGAGCATGTGCTCATGCTGGCTGGCTTTACTGACTTAGCATAGTATTTTGTTGCATCATTAATTATTGCCAGATAGCACTTCATTGTAAAGAAATACCATTGTAAATAAGGTCTGTATTTTGGAATGCTTTATGTTTGGAGCTGTTAGAAATCATAGGGCTTCTGTGGATACACACGGACACATTACATAGACATGTTTTTGTGTACCTAGTATTGGAATGTTTGGGCCATATAGTCATTACAAATTTAATATTGAGAGTTTTAAAAATTATTATTTTAATTACGGGGAGAGAGGGGTATGAGCACAAGTGCCCATACTGCCAGAGGCCAGAAGAGTGTGTAGGATCCCTTGGAGCTAGAGTGATCTGGGTGGTGTGAATGGGAATTGGTTCCTCTGCAAGAGCAGCATATGCTCCTAACCACTGAGCCATATTTTCAGCTCCTTCAGTGGGTTTTTAAAACATTTTCTTCTGGTTTAAAGTTAATAATGTTCATATCAAGAAAACTGGCTAAGAGGACCTTCTGTTCTATGCTTTGAATTTTGTGCTGGTTATGTACTCACATACACTGCCTTTAGAAAATCAGTGTTCCTTGGCAGACATGACAGTATATTACTTTTGCCTTTCAAAGGCCAGAATGGCATTTTTCATTAAAATTAACAAAGTAAATAAATAGAACTGTACCGTCCCAAACTACCTGATGTTAGGAGATAATAATGAAGCCTCATTTTATTGGAGCACAGTTGTAAGAAGGTGCTGGCTGTCTCAACACACCCCTTGTTGCAGATAATATTTATGACTAGTGCCAGGGTGTTTACTTGTATAGCAAGCTTTATTCAGATAAATGTTGTTTTTGCCCTGAGAGAAATAAACGAGAACATAAAATTTGTGGGTGCATTTGTCTTTGTTGCAGAAACTCCTCAAAAAGGGAAGAAACAAACTCAGGTCCTTGAATTCAGATGCCTCTAGTTTTGTTTTGTTCTTCCCCAGTTCTTTTCTTCTTGTTTCCTCCTGTTGTTTTAGGAGTTTTAGAAAGAAAGAATACTTCTGATTGCTCAGCATACCTCATTTTCATGAAAAGGAGTTGAACCTAGAAGAATCATGTGACTGGCATCAGAAGCAGATGGAATCTGGGGCAATTCTCCTAATTTAGGATGTAGGGAATCTCTTACCTTTACTTATACTTTGTGTCCACTTCTACCTGGTACAGAAAACATACCAATGCAGTTTCCAGTTCTTGAAAATGTTTCAGGTGTAAAAGAAGTTTTGTATTAGCGGCATTATTAAAATGATTGAAGTCTGACCACCACTCACCTATCCCTTTGTGTTGTGCCCATACTTGTTTGTTCTCTCTGCTGTGAACTGAGAAGAAAACCCACCCACACAGACTTCAACATTTCTTGTGTCTTTCTTTCTTTTCCAATTTAATTCTTCTCTTTTTATCCATTAACTATAGTTTCACTGTGTCAGTGGAGAACAGAGATCTGTAGAAAAGTTTTAGTCTTTGTGGAACGACTTGTCACCTTTGCTGTCACAGTGGGAAAACAATAGGTGAAATGTTTCTGAGCGTCAGTGAACCTTTGTTTTAGGCACTGAATTTTGAATTCCATATGATGTTCATAGCATTGAATATTTTTGTTTTAAATTTTTCCAGTCATTAAAAAATATAAAATCTACTCTTAGATTTCCCCCCCCCAGGGTCTATACAAATCAGTAGTAGACGATTGGCAAGTAGTGTATAAACTTTTGGCAAAAAGAATACTGTGTACCAGTGAAAGTTGAGCAAGCAAGCAAGCAGGTTTCTTTGTTTTTCCATTCCCATCTCTCTCCTTCATTTTCTTTTTTTAAAATGTTAAGTTGGGCATGGTGCTACACCCATGTAATCCCAGTACTTGGGAAGCTGAGGCAGGAGAATTGCCATGAATTCAAGGCCAGCCAGGGCTGTGTATATCAAAATTTGGTCTTAACAAAGCAATAACAAAAAATTGTTCTCTTGTATGACCTCTAATTACTACACTGTAAATTGGGTAAGAGAGCTCAGTTCTGTCTGAGCTAGATTTTTGGCTTAGCCTCTGTATAATTCAATTTTCTCATCTTTGTTCATCATCTTAGCCTTAACATTCTAGTGTCTGTATTTAGGAAAGGGTTGACTGAGTTTGTGATTGTAGTTGGGGGTGGGGTGACATTTGTTTAATGTTACTTAATGCAAACTTTCTGACACATACCCAGGCTTTGTTTTAACCTTGGGAATAGGCCAGTCATTTCTTCATTGAATTATTGCTTCATTTACTCGTTCTCTACCAAATAGAAAACGGAACAAAAGCATGTCTGATGACCTGTAAGACTAGAATGATAGGGAATTTGTGGAAGTTTACTAATAAGTATAAATACAGAATCCATTTAAAGGGAAACCTATGGTTGATTTCCTGGTTTCTTAGTCCTATGATCTGATGCTTGATGTGCCAACCAAGTTGTCTGTATTTCTTACTCATGAGACTACTTACATGTGCTAGAAATAGAACTTTAGTAAGTGCTTTAAGATTGTGGAGCATACAGGAATTAGGCAATACTAAATTTGTTGTTTTCTTGTAGTCTCAGGAAAAAAATTGTATGTTAAATGCCACAAAGTTCTCAAAATCTCTAGGTTGAAAAATTTTCACAATCCTGGAGGCAAAACTGTTAGTATACTCATAATGTTCATTCACATAAAGCACTTTATGATTGTGATTTGTTAAGTATTGCCAAAGTTTTATTAGTAATTAGAATTCAGTATTAAACATTGCTTCCTTTTATGTACTTGTCTAATTCCAGGGGTCTCTCGATTGTCTTCCATGGCCTTTTTGCCCTTGGGGGTGGGGGATGGTTCAGAAATGTGGGGCATACAAGTACAGCCCCAGTTGAACATTACTATTAAGGAGTAGACAAGGGTTGAGGCTCTGTTTCTACCTACTCAACTTATATATTACAAGCTCGAGATTAGCATCATGCAATAATTTAAGTTGGGAGATGTGAAACTTGGTTTATTTGAGACCTTGAAAATTTAAAAGGACCTTAAAGATTATGGAACATCTTCACTTTATAGAAGTGATCTAGGGTAATTAAATGCCTCGTTTGTCCATTACCTAAACTGTCATCTGGGTTGTGCCCCAAGCTTGTGCTGTTAAATGTTCCTATTATACTGCTGTTCTTTTCCTGAAGAGTCACCCTGAGGATATTCACTTAGTTTAGGGTGAGTTTTCTGCTTCTAAATGGAGTTTTATTTCATACTCCAGTTCTAACCCACTGTATTAACTCTACATGCTTTCTGTCAGAGTAGGAGAAATTTCTCTTTCTGTTTTAGGATCAAAGTTGATTCGGTTTTTTAAAATCTTGTGTTGTTACTATGAAATTTCTGTAGCTGTGTCTAAATAACATCAAGATGGTATTTACCCTAATACTTTCCTAGACCTGCATATTTTCCCTTCATAAAGAGTGGTATGAAAAGGAGTTCCACATGCCAAATGAGAAGCAGGAGAGATGGTATTGTGTTTGTATTTGGAGAAACAGAAGCCTAGGGACCATTTATCTTGAGAGTATGATCCCCTGGATTCAGGGAAACATTTCAGTTCAGGTTTCCCTCTCCCTCTGCTGTAATCTAAAATCTCCTTGTGTAACAGTGGTCTTTTTTTTTTTTTTTTTTTTTTTTTTTTTTTTTTTTTTTTTTTTTTTTTTTTTTAGCTTTGGAGCCTATCCTGGCACTCGTTCTGGAGACCAGACTGGCCTCGAACTCACAGAGATCCACCTGCCTCTGCCTCCCGAGTGCTGGGATTAAAGGTGTGCGCTACCAATGCCTGGCATAACAGTGGTCTTTTATCTGTAGCATTCAGAAGAGGCTTGCTTCACTGCAGTATCTGTTCATTGAGGGCTCTCTGAAATAATTCCTTTCCCAAATGCTCATTGCATAAGCTTATTAACCATGTGGAACAGTTAATCCTGAAAGGCAGTGTATCTTGTCAGGATGCCCGTGGGCCTAGCAGCCAGACACTCTAGAGCAAATACATCCAAGGATAGCTATAAAATCCCATATGTTGAAGATTAGGTTACTGGGAAAGTATATTTTCGTTTAACATATTTCCCAAATCAAGAAAGTATTTTCATTCAGAGAACTCCTTTTTTGTAGTTACTCA